TCTTCCTCTCTGTTTTAAAAGTTGTTTACCGGTTTCGTGGAATTGTTGACTAAAAATAGAGGGCTTTATATAATTTGAATAACTTGCTCCCAATCACTTCGTCTCAATAAGAATATGTAAAAAACAAATGTAAGTAGTTAAAGAATAACAAAAGTGGTTACAATTAATACTTATATATATACTGAATCGTTGAATAATGACGGAAACAGTTGTAGGTACGAATATTTCATCATTTAGCATAACTAATGTAACCGTTTGTATCTTATATACTTTGGAGGAAAATTAAAAAAAAACACAAAAAAACTCCATGATCGTTATTTACCGCACGTATACCTCACCATAATATTTGTACCCGCTTATCTCAGATTTCGGATAATTATACCAAGGACATGTTCATATCATCTTTTTGTTTTACTGTACTTGTCATCAGATTTATCAAGTATTCTACTAAGTTTTTTTATAATTCAAGTATATTGTTATTGTATCATTGTTATTGTATCATTGTTATTGTATTATTGTTATTGTATTATTGTATCATTGTTATTGTATCATTGTTATTGTATCATTGTTTGTTTGTTATTGTATCATTGTATTGTATTGTTATTGTATCATTGTATCATTGTTATTGTATCATTGTTATTGTATCATTGTTATTGTATCATTGTTATTGTATATTGTATCATTGTATCATTGTTATTGTTATTGTATCATTGTTATTGTATCATTGTTATTGTATCATTGTTATTGTATCATTGTTATTGTATCATTGTTATTGTATCATTGTTATTGTATCATTGTTATTGTATTGTATCATTGTTATTGTATCATTGTTATTGTATTGTATTGTTATTGTATCATTGTTATTGTATCATTGTTATTGTATCATTGTTATTGTATCATTGTTATTGTATTATTGTTATTGTATATTGTTATTGTATCATTGTTATTGTATCATTGTATCATTGTTATTGTATCATTGTTATTGTATCATTGTTATTGTATTATTGTTATTGTATTATTGTATCATTGTTATTGTATCATTGTTATTGTTATTGTATTATTGTATCATTGTTATTGTATCATTGTATCATTGTTATTGTATCATTGTTATTGTATCATTGTATCATTGTTATTGTATCATTGTTATTGTATCATTGTTATTGTATTATTGTATCATTGTTATTGTATTTATTGTATCATTGTTATTGTATTATTGTTATTGTATCATTGTTATTGTATCATTGTTATTGTATCATTGTATCATTGTTATTGTATCATTGTTATTGTATCATTGTATCATTGTTATTGTATCATTGTTATTGTTATTGTATCATTGTTATTGTATCATTGTATCATTGTTATATGTATATTGTATCATTGTTATTGTATCATTGTTATTGTATCATTGTTATTGTTATTGTATATTGTTATTGTATCATTGTATCATTGTTATTGTATTATTGTATTGTATTGTTGTTATTGTATCATTGTTATTGTATTATTGTTATTGTATCATTGTTATTGTATCATTGTTATTGTATCATTGTTATTGTATCATTGTTATTGTATCATTGTTATTGTATGTTATTGTATCATTGTTATTGTATTGTTATTGTATATTGTATCATTGTTATTGTATCATTGTTATTGTATCATTGTTATTGTATATTGTTATATATTATTGTTATTGTATTATTGTTATTGTATTGTTATTGTATTATTGTATCATTGTTATTGTATTTGTATATTGTATTGTTGTTATTGTATCATTGTTATTGTATCATTGTTATTGTATTATTGTATCATTGTTATTGTATCATTGTTATTGTATCATTGTTATTGTATCATTGTTATAGTATTATTGTTATTGTATCATTGTTATTGTATTGTATATTGTTATATTGTATCATTGTTATTGTATCATTGTTATTGTATTGTTATTGTATCATATCATTGTTATTGTATCATTGTTATTGTATCATTGTTATTGTATTGTTGTTATTGTATTGTTATTGTTATTGTATTGTATCATTGTTATTGTATCATTGTTATTGTTATTGTATCATTGTTATTGTATCATTGTTATTGTATTGTATCATTGTTATTGTATCATTGTTTGTTATTGTATCATTGTTATTGTATCATTGTTATTGTATCATTGTTATTGTATTATTGTTATTGTATCATTGTTATTGTATTATTGTTATTGTATTATTGTTATTGTATCATTGTTATTGTATTATTGTTATTGTATTATTGTTATTGTATCCTTGTTATTGTTATTGTATCATTGTTGTATCATTGTTATTGTATTGTTATTGTATCATTGTTATATTGTATTATTGTTATTGTATCATTGTTATTGTATTATTGTTATTGTATTATTGTTATTGTATATTGTTATTGTATTTATTATTGTATTATTGTTATTGTATCCTTGTTATTGTATCATTGTATTGTATTGTTATTGTATCATTGTATCATTGTTATTGTATCATTGTTATTGTATCATTGTTATTGTATTATTGTTATTGTATCATTGTTATTGTATCATTGTTATTGTTATTGTATCATTGTTATTGTATCATTGTTATTGTATCATTGTTATTGTTTGTATCATTGTTATTGTATCATTGTATCATTGTTATTGTATCATTGTTATTGTTATTGTATCATTGTTATTGTATCATTGTATCATTGTATCATTGTTATTGTATCATTGTTATTGTTATTGTATCATTGTTATTGTATCATTGTTATTGTTATTGTATCATTGTTATTGTATCATTGTATCATTGTTATTGTATCATTGTTATTGTATCATTGTATTATTGTATTGTTATTGTATCATTGTTATTGTTATTGTATCATTGTTATTGTATCATTGTTATTGTTATTGTATCATTGTTATTGTATCATTGTTATTGTTATTGTATCATTGTTATTGTATCATTGTTATTGTTATTGTATCATTGTTATTGTATCATTGTTATTGTTATTGTATCATTGTTATTGTATCATTGTTATTGTTATTGTATCATTGTTATTGTATCATTGTTATTGTTATTGTATCATTGTTATTGTATCATTGTTATTGTTATTGTATCATTGTTATTGTATCATTGTTATTGTTATTGTATCATTGTTATTGTTATTGTATCATTGTATCATTGTTATTGTATCATTGTTATTGTGTTATTGTTATTGTATCATTGTTATTGTATCATTGTTATTGTATCATTGTTATTGTATCATTGTTATTGTATTATTGTTATTGTATCATTGTTATTGTATCATTGTTATTGTATCATTGTATCATTGTTATTGTTATTGTATCATTGTTATTGTATCATTGTTATTGTATCATTGTTATTATATCATTGTTATTGTGTTATTGTTATTGTATCATTGTTATTGTATCATTGTTATTGTATTATTGTTATTGTATCATTGTTATTGTATCATTGTTATTGTATCATTGTATCATTGTTATTGTGTTATTGTTATTGTATCATTGTTATTGTATCATTGTTATTGTATTATTGTGATTGTATAATTGCAATAAACACATTACTAATATAATTGTCATCATCAGGAACATAGTGTCAATTGATTGTTGTGAATTGAAGCGTTATGGTATGATGAGTTGATTTATCTCAGTTTTTGCCTGTCGTATGACCTATTATCATCATTAGATCTTATTTAATTCAGAGGACATGTATAACTGATTTACTGAAAGTCCAGCACTATTATGTAAGCATTGAGCCGCTTTCAGTTGGCATTCATCAGTTCATGAATGCCAACTGAAAGCAGTTCAGTGCATATCACTCGTGGTTTTAAAATTTAAATTCACTATTGATTGATAAAAAATAATTCAAATTGTCCAGCCTTTATCGGCTATGAGACCTTACCGAGAATTTCCGCATAAAAGTAATATTGCGCTGAATAATATAACTATAAATAAAGTTAACGTCACTTTTTTGTTTCTTTTACAGACACATGATTTATAAAATGCCACAAAGCTACATTTACTGCAGTTGCATACATATTAAAATTATACACAACCTGTTATCTCGTAATATAACTGTATAAGGGGAGGTAACCTCAATTTGTTTACATTACTGTTAATTCATACGCCAGTTGGCAGTTATGAGGTGGTTACGCGCAACTATTGTTAGAAATGTTATATAATAAAAATGCTATAGAGTGGTAAATATATGATTATGTTGTATATGACATGCCTGCCCTCCGATGTGTCTTTTAGCAGTAAGAATACAATAAACTGAACCTGGTTTAGAATAGATTGTATGACATAAATTGCCCGATGGGTAACAGGTCATTGATGATATACTCCTTCATTTTCTCGTAGCTGTATGTATTTTGTTTTCTGTACAAGTACACTTTGTACAAACACTTAATACGGAGTGTGGACAGGTAGTCAAACTCACCTGTAGCCAAACGCACTCGGCTGCAACCGTATTGAGAGAATCGATTCCGGGTACTACCAACGTGTTATTATACGAGACCAGAAATTTCTATGAATTATCATAACTTGTCCAAATTCTTTTGTTTATTTAAAGCACTGAAATATGTTTAAATCAAATGATATTTTATGCTATACATGCTCCTTTGACTGGTCCCCGTTTGAAACGAAGATTTATATTATACAACGAACATCTTCACAAACAGTCACATAGATGTACCGTAACAAGCAGCTTTATGGCAAAGACGTAACGCGGCTTGTAAAAGTAGAACCTGACTAGTTTTCTACTTTTGACAGATAGTAGTTTATCAAGTGAGAACAAAACTTGGTTGAGTTGAAACATATTTTATATAAAATTCTTGGCTACATATCTTCCCATACAAAGCATTAAGTGTCAACACTAACGATAAGAAGTAGTAAAAGGATCATAAAATGGACAAGTTATATGTCGTGTAGATGAAGCGGCACTGATGTCACTACTCGACGATAAAAGTACTTTTTAGAATGATTGCGCTTCCTATGAAACAGATAGATCAAGTTGCAGACAAGCCATGACCTTGCCACCATTGGAAGCAGACCCTCGAAGACGATAGTCCCCGGACGGGAAGGCCGATGCATCAACCTCAAAGGAAGCCGAGGGAACATTGTAGTTACCCTGCAGAGAAAGAGAGGAAGAACGTGTATTGATTGACATATGCCATTATATTAGTACTGAAAATGATGCTCGTTAAAATGACAGCGTTTTCTGGACATATGACTTGGACATTCTACTTGTAATCGGTTGACCATTGAATTAAACTGGTTAGCTTTATTGCTATATCTGTACAGATCATGGAATTTTACAGTCGTACTTGTTTTAACGAACAGATTTCCTTCAGATTAAATCACAATCATTAAAAACAATACAGCCTCTTTACAAGTGGTCTTGTCTATAAAACATTTTGAGTAATCACATACCGTTTTAAATGGACACTGACAGTCGATTCCAGCTTTCACGAATGGGTCTGGACACGTGACACTTTCCAGTAATTCGCATACGTCATCATATGTACACGAACCGAAGTTATCTATGCACGGAATCTTGACGTATGTAGAACCAACCTTTTTCTCAATCAAAAGTTCGCCCTTCAAAAGAAGTTATCATAGTGTACGTTTTCATTGCAGCTTTATCTGGATTCTGACCATAGATATTGTACACATATGGATAAATAAAATATTTAATGTAATGCACAAATTTAATTAATTTATAGCATACAGCTGTTTGGACATGCACCTGATTGTAGAGACCAGAGTGTGAAAATCTGGTAGTTATAGAAATCCTAGTGGGTCTAAACCTTAGATATTATGTCTAGGAGCAAGTGAACACGTGTTCTAGAGAATTTAAAGAAATCTTAATCGGTCTAAATTTCAGATATCGTGCCTGGAAGCAAGTGAACACTTACTCGAGAGAAGTTAGGGAGTTCTTAACCAATCTTTAATCTAAATATGATGAATAGAAGACAGTAAACATTTATTCTACAGAAGTATGTTGATGCCGAATATTGAATCATTCACGACAAATTACAATAAAGCATGCGATTAATTTCAAAACTGATATATAAGAAGAATGTGGCAATTTTTAAATATTGAATCAAATACATTACCATCATATCAACCAAGCTATAAACTATATATTTTTGTGAAGGACTTTGATACCTTTAGGGGAGCGACGACAGATGTACTTATCGTTCCTTTGAATCCGAGTGTGAACGTGCCAGGGAAATTTAGGGGGTCTGGGGTCAAAGACACGTTCTGAATTTTAGCTCCAGCTCCTCCACAATCGGTCCATTTGAATGCGCCCAGCCTGGATCCGATACCCTGGATAAACAGTTTCAGTTATGAAGGAGATAGTTCGTTGTCGATGTCTCATACCGTAAAAGAAAATTACATACCCAGTGAATAATGTTGAGCATTTTGTCAAAAATTATATTTCTGTGTATACCACATTACTCTGAAATAACATTGGATATCTGTCCTAATGCAATCTTACAATCGTTGATAAGTCTTATTTCACGTTTTTTTTTATTATTTACATCACATCCTAACAATTTTGCCAGGTTCTACTTACTGTTACCACATATCATCGCGACATTTTTCACCGTCAACCTTCATATTTAATTAACAAAACTCATTGTCAAGGTTGCAATAGTGTCTTGCTTAGTACGTTTTGGTCTGACTTACCCATGTCTTTAAGAACTCTGCAGATTTAAATCTCTCCGGGATGAATGGCTTTGAGAGAAGATCTAATACCAACTCGGTCTCATCTTCAATAGGGGCTTGTTCGTATTTCAGCACACCTTTGGCATAACATGAAGCCAAGCAGATAAGTAGAAGAGCTAATGTCTTTGCCATGTTTGCAGCTTGTAAAGTGTAGCAGAGCAAGTCTTGACTCTTCCTCATATACCCTGTCTTCAGATAAGATTACGTGAGGCCATTTTTAGGGAAAATAAATTTGCATCTTATATAATCTGAACTTTCTACACGAACGCTTTCAAATGGATGTGCTTTGCTTTAGTATTCTATATCATTAGAAGATTTCTTTGTTTAACGAAAGGGTTTTATATATATATATATGATACAGATGTACGGTTTGAGGAGTTAAAACAGTAACCCTGATACACTTGCGGTCAATATCAGGAGAAGCACCGGTCATTTGAGATATGGCATGCGAATCGCGTGATTTCAGATAATACAGATTAAGTCAATATGACGTTGTACTATGTGTGAGAATTCATGTCGCTGCACATTTGACGTACAGTTCGTAATCTGTGAACTAACAGTAGGTCTACGTAAACATGACCCATGATCTGTTACCGTGATATGAGTAATATGTAGTATGACAACCTGCTTAACTCTCTTTCAATGAATGATGTAGAATTATGTCTGGTGTCCCAAGTACAGTTTGACCATAATAACAGTCTCAGAAATACATCTTAAATCAGTCTTCCATAAAGAAGATGAACACATTTCTTGACAGGTGGTCATTTCATTATTTTTCATATGACCGATCGACATGCTAATCTATGCCACCACTTGACAAAATATTTATATGACGCCTTTGTTACATATAGTCGCGGAATCAACTCGTGCGTGCAAAACATTAACTTCGAATCAATTTAAGCCAAACTGAAATTAATAAAATTTATTTGAAAATGTATCAATCTTTTAACTTTTCATACTATCGTTATATTGTTTATGGATAAAACAGAGACTTGACATGTATTCCCAACCCACGGTTCATATGTATGTATTATAGTGACAAAGGTTGCAACTCCCGAGAAAAAAACTTGTTGTTTCCCCCCTTAAAGACGTACTTCTCAGTAACACATACGTTGCCTTTAATAGAAATGTTTTATCTTTCCGATGAGCGAACTAAATTTGCGAAGTATAAACCAAGTTATGAATTAGGAAATCTGTGTAGAATCGGCTATGTAGACATTTCCCTGTCTAATTGAAACGTCCTATTGTTATAAATGAGAACGTTTAAAGTTTTATAAGGAATGTACTCTGATACCAGACCTTAAGTAAAAAAAAATGGATATGATGTATCCCAAATGTTCCGGATTGAAACAAGGTGAAAACTGTTCGCCTTTTTTATTAGCACTGTATGTTAATAACATCGACAGAACTGTTGATTTTTTACTTAAAATTGATGAATTATGTCGTGATATTATCGATATGTATGTAAAATTGTTTGTTATAAGTAGACGATATAGTTCTGTTGTGGGAAACAGTAGAAGGATTACAAGCATAAATAACGAAAAAAGTACTTTCCAATAATATTGCTAAAAATGGAAGCTTGTTGTGAACAGTATCAAATCTAAAACTGTTATATTTCTCTAAAAGAAAGACAATGATAAGACACCGTTTTTTATTATACAATCAACAGTGGGACATTGAGGAGTCCTCATATCTCGGGGTCCTGTTTAATTATAATGATTTTTTTATTAGCTAAACACGTTTGTGCGATCACATTAAAAAAGAACTTTTTGCTGAATATTGAAAACCAAGCAATATGAAACTACCAACTGATTTACAATTTATATGTGATATGTTCCGCCGAAGTTTGGGGGGTATGATAATGTTAGTCAGCTAAAAAAACAATTCAGTTACAATTTTGTAAATAAAAGATACATCAAATTTTATTATATTTTTTATATGGAGAAACGCGACGATATCCTATGACGATTGGCATTAAGTTAAGAATTATTAAGTTTTCGTATAATCCTAATATATATGAGCATAAACTATACAGTCAAATATAAAAACTAATGTAATCTCTTCATGAGTTCGGACAAATCCAGTTCAAACGGATAAAAAATATAAATAGACACCTTAGACAATGCCGGACGAAGCAATGGTCGGTTATATCATGTTTACCCAACATTAACCATTTAAAAAAAATTACACAAAAATACACGACCAGTTCATTCAGGATTGGTTCAATCAACAGGAAACTAAACACGAGGTAAAATATATGATATGTTAAAACACAATTTGGTTTAGAAGATAATTTAAAACGATGAAAAAAGTAGGACAAGAAATTAATTTGTATTACTTCCGATATAAAACTTCCGGTTGAAACAGGAAGATAGACAGGAATCCAACGACAAGATAGAATATGTCCAATGTTTATTGAGGAGAAATGACACGGGTTTCATAATTTGTCAATCTGTACCAGTTGTTTCCATCCTACTTTTCCAATGATCACAAATACGATGAAATGAAATTGTTTACAATATTTGATAAAAAATGTTAGTTTACATAAGCCTATTTGTACAAAATGTCTGTTATGTTATCATAATTAGGATAAATCTGTCACTGAATGGATGCATGTACCCGACCCATTAAATATGTATATATGGTGTATACATTATTTTTCACAATGTTATCATATGTATATTAGTTGATAGCGATGTAACAAAATTGGTGTTGTAAAACCTTATTCTTAGTATATAGAATACTTTCTATTAAGTAACATACGATTGTACTAAGACAACAATATAAGACTGAAATTTGGACATAGTGTATACAATGACCTCTTGTTACACACCACATATATCAGAATATTTTCTATTAAGTAACATAAGATTATACTAAGACAACAATATAAGACTGAAATTTGGACATAGTGTATACAATGACCGCTTGTTACACACTAAATGTGTTAGAGTGAATAAAGAAATCTCGATACCTCAATGACTATGCCGAAGTCGCTAAATTTACGGTTGTGGCGCTATATAGTACCCATAACCGTGTCCACACATAATGTCTTTTGATAGGTGTCATGTCTCGTGCGTTGTAGAAATTCCATATTGACATCAGGTGCTCACCTTCTTATACAATATATAAAATCTCAGTAAGATCTACGGCCCTTAGAATGTATATATACATTTATATAGCTTTCCATTTTTGGGAGTTACAACACTTGTTATTATATATATGGACCAGAGGGTTGAGTGTTCGAGTGCCCGTGTCAGTATAATACATATATAAGGACCACGAGTTGGGTATTCGAGTGCCCGTGTCAGTATAATACATATATAAGGACCACGAGTTGGGTATTCGAGTGCCCGTGTCAGTATAATACATATATAAGGACCACGAGTTGGGTATTCGAGTGCCCGTGTCAGTATAATACATATATAAGGACCACGAGTTGGGTATTCGAGTGCCCGTGTCAGTATAATACATATATAAGGACCACGAGTTGGGTATTCGAGTGCCCGTGTCAGTATAATACATATATAAGGACCACGAGTTGGGTATTCGAGTGCCCGTGTCAGTATAATACATATATAATGACCACAAGGTTGGGTATTCGAGTGCCCGTGTCAGTATAATACATATATAAGGACCACAAGGTTGGGTATTCGAGTTCCTGTGTCAGTGTAATACATATATAAGGACCACAAGGTTGGGTATTCGAGTCCCTGTGTCAGTATAATACATATATATACATATTAACCGTAGGTTGGGAATTCGGTCCAAGTCCCTGTGATGCCTAATGCAACAGAAGGGACGATACTACTATTCATAAGGAAACGGTGAGATAATGTCATAATAGAAATAACAGATAGGTTTTATTGCCCATAGCGAACTATTGTTTGTTGAATTTCACGTGCATAATCTACTACTTTAAATGTATGTAACCATTCCAAGATCTAGGTTAGTATGAAGGTGATAGGGCAGGACATATCGAAAAAGTGTACCCTGAAACCGGCAAGTCCTGCCTGGTACTGATATGTCTGTATCAAGCCTCATTTTATCGTTTTGAAAAGGTCGCAAATGCTTTCTTTAAATTGCTTCCATGTTTTCATTTGTTTATAATAAAAAGAAAGAAAAAACATATAAAAGTCAACGTGATTCTCTATATCTTACGGAGCCCGTTAACTGACATGCTCCATACTTATTTTATTTCGTTTTTTCGAAATATTATTTCGTTTAAACGAAATATTAATTCGTTTATTAGAAATATTATTTCGTTTTTTTCGAAATAATAATTCGTTTAAACGAAATATTATTTCGTTTTTTCGAAATATTAATTCGTTTTTTTTCGAAATATTATTTCGTTTTTTGGAAATAATAATTCATTTTATCGAAATAATATTTCATTTCGTTTTTTCGAAATATTATTTCGAAATAATAACTCGTTTTTTCGAAATAATATTTCGTTTAAACGAAATATCATTTCGAAAAAACGAAATAAAATAAGTATGGAGCATGTCAGTTAACGGGCTCCGTAATATCTCAACGTCTGTTTAAGGAGATTTTTAATTCTTGAAAAGAGATTTTTATATCGTTAGCCCCTTATATTATTGAAAATTCTTTAACCTATGCTGCTGCATATTACAGTTTTAAACACTATTCTACTTATATTACTGCATTCAAACGTCATTAATTATTATGTTGTTTGTTCAGTTTCTTACCAATGATATGACATTTGGACAACATTGAACAATACTATGGAGCCTTTAGGCATAGATGGATCAACTCCTCTCTTTCTTCTGTTTTTCACAAGCTGCAACCGCGTATAATGACAAAAGTGAGATTACCCATAACACTGCAAATGTTCACCCTGAAGATGTTCTATATATCCTGAAAAATAAGCACGTGATCCCTTGCTGAAGACAAAAATAAGCCGCTGCATATTTCCGAGATTTTAGGGTATTAATCTGGTCTAGGAGTGTCTCATGAAACTTAATTACCTACGCTGATGACTGTTAACTATCTTGGGGCGATAACATTAATATTTTTTAAAAACGTATTACTTAACAAATACAGCGTAGTTAATCCTTAATAGACATATACAGCTATCAAAATACCAATACAAAAATATGTTAAGTACGTTACACCAGTATCCGGATAATGTTTCCATTTGTAAAATGTGAAACTCCATCGATTAAAAAACGGATATAAATAGCACTAGAATTAGCACACAAGGACCGGGAATCTACACACAAAGTAAACTTGTAGGTGTGTTATTTATTTAGTCTATTCATCAAGAAACGCGCTGGAGGGGTAAGTGTGTACACATTTTGTCTCCCTGTATTGTACAATTCAACAATGTACAAGTGTAGAGCTTGAATATGATGTGGTTTTGTGGTAGATGACAGCGGGTCAGGTAGAGTGTATGGCCCTGAATGTACATGTTTCATGTTGTTGTTGTCACAGGTGAGTCTCTTTATCTATACATGTACCTATAATCAGTCTCTCCAAAGTTAGCAGTGGTTTACAAACTGCATGTTTATATACAGAGAATATTACGAATAAGTACACATGTGTTTGTCACTAGGTGTTTGTTGAAACAAAATATATATCGAAATCATGACCATGGGTACGAAACATTGTTTGATGTCAGTTTTTGGACCATTTAAAACACTTGTGTATATACCCGTATATACTGGGCGACAAATTTATATTTATCGTGCGCTGTATTGTCAATGTTGCCTGGCGCTGTTTGCTGTCCCTTGTACACTATTCCTACTTCCTGACTCCCTGTTGACAGTATAGAACTCGTTGTTGTATTTGGTGAAGATGTTGGTGATTCGACTTAATCCTTTACATTTCTTTCGGGTACCACAAGGTTGAAGTAGGGGACACTATAATAACTTAATTCAATCGAATCGCGGCAAGGTTCAGAATATACACATATACAAGAAGTTGTTCTTAAATCATCTGATATATGAAAATTATGAAATATATATTGAAATACCTCCCTCCCCCCTATTTAAATTTTGATTTTTATTTCGATCACTTTTCTTCGTTGCCTTTTAGGTTTTAATATTTAGACCTTTAACATCATCCACGAACCCTAGGAGAACGAAACAGCTGTATAATACAGTTTTTTATTCATTGTTTGGCTCTACTCTCTCTACCTCTAAATCTGACTTCATTTGTATCTCATTTGTACAATCTAACATATATCATGTGTACCCGGAAAGATTCACAAGACTACGTGTCTTATTTGGGTGTCAGTAACACTACACAGGTGAAATATAGATGTACTATACATACAGTCTTCATATAGGGTATATACACATTAATTATAAGTGTATGTATCGAAGTACGTGTAGCTTTATGTACTGGGGAAGGTTATGTATAACTGTAGACTGTGTAACCAAACAAACGACAGACAGGTCAATAGAGGCTACCAAAGCTTCATGATTGAGAATTGTATTAGATACACGCATGTAGTGTTTATCGGTACGTAATAGTTTTAAACATGTAAATTGTAAAGTGGGGAAGAAAATGCTAGGATTATGTATGCATGGCAGACTTCTACCCAAACTTGTCTTTCAGTTCTGTTTGAATACCTTTAAATAAACACACACAACTCTTATTTACTTCCCCCTGTACCATTTGATATCATTATAGACCTCACTCAACGGATATCGGTCAAAACATAACGATACCTTCACCTAATCATTTCAACAAACATTTTGACAACTAGACGGCGCTTTGACGCTTCTGACAAATATGACCTTGGTAACCAGCGTAATACCATATTGCTCTGTAAGTATGGTGTCATACATAGGTGAAAACATTTATTTTTCTATTTAATCAGAGACGGTGAACACGTCGTCGATTTAGTAGACCAAGTATCATGGCGAAACACATATCTGCCGGGCTGCAGACTCGAATTAAATTCTTCAGCGATCCCGGCTGGACATGTAAGAGGTGTGGTGAAGGCAATGACTTTCAGGAACAGTTATGTAAGAAGTGTGGTCGCAGGAATGTGGCACACAACAGACTGCAGAAGAGCATCAAGAGGGCGAAACTGGATCGCACGACATGGCACTGCGCATCGTGCACATTTATTAATCAAGGAACTCATCGATTTTGTGAGATTTGTAACACTCTTCGCAGTGACGAAGTCAACAAGGACCCAACAGGACCTATCAAAGCAGATAGTATGTTTGACGACAATGCAAAGTGTAACACTATTGGGCCAGTGATGATGGACAACATAAATGGCAAGGAACAAGTCAGAATGAGAGGGAACCATGGTAACCATAGAGGTAATAACGAGACTGAACAGAAGTCACGTCTAAGTAAATTCTTTGCATTCATCACTGGTTCATCAGAAAAGATATCGGAGGATAAAAGCCGTCAGTCTGATGGCGAGAAGAAAAAATCAAAAGGCGGCGTGATACGAAACAGTAAACTTTTTCAGTTTTTTGTTGGTGATAACAGCAAGTCTTCAGATAAAGAGAAGACAAACAAAGATTCCAAAGATGTTCCACAAAGTACATTTTATTTGGATGAAATAACGGAAGAATTAGGAAGTGAAAGCGAAAATAAAAATCAATCACATGAGACTTACATAAGTGAATGGAAACAAAGCGAGGTTGATGTGAAATGGACTGGCAGAAGAACAGACGATAAAACCCCAAGAGGTATTGATTTAGTGGTTAATATACCCGATGAAAAACTGATGCAAAAGGAATCAAACAGTTCTGATTTTCGTTTTAAAGTAATCGACAGAGTTGGTGAAAAACATAAACCGGAAGTTCAGAAGTATTCGGAACCCCGGAAAATTTCTCCATCACCTAGACGTAAAGACGGCGCTGGTATAGAGGATAAAAAACGTCTGTTCGAGAACAAATTGGGAGACAGAGAGCAAACACCTCAAGCGAGACCTGCAAATGAGAAAAATGTAGATAAATCAAATGTTGTGAAGAAGAGAGAACAAGCGAAAGAGAGATATGCGAAAGATAAAGACGACAAGAAAATAACTGAGAAATCAGGAAATATTACTAATCCTTTGCCCCCGAAGCAAAAAGACAAAGACGAGAGGAAATATAAAGACAACCAAACGGAAACGTCTATGGCAGATAAACAGAAGAATAGATGGACGTGTAAAGTGTGTACGTACTTAAATGACAATCTCGCACAAAGATGTCGTATGTGTGACACGCAAAGACCAAAAATTGAGGCTAACAGACCCTCAAAACTAATGAAAAGGCGCAGACTTCGAAGTGGACGTAGTTTGAAAATAGCAGATTTACAGAAACAAGAGGAAAAAGAAGCACACAAAAACTGGGTCAACATCACATACTTTTGTCGAGAGGTATATACCAGCCAAGATACACTAGTTTTTCCAAAAGCTTCATTTAATCATGATCGAATAATTTAGTATCAGGCTCCGTTGTAATCTGTTGATCAAATATAAAGTAACAAAACGGAACTTATAAGGCAATTATTGAAATTCTATTTGACAGTTGAAGAAATTGTAGTAATATCTAAGTGGAAATTCACCATGAGCTCCTTGCATGGACAACCTTATTTTAGACATAATCTCGTATTACAGAATGGGACAATGTTCGTGGATGAACAATTCCCTCCCAGTGTTGCCTCATTGTACAACCGACCACCCGTCACCAATGTTAATCCAACGTGGCTTCGTTGCCATGACGTGCGAACAGGAGAAGACAACCAAGACAAGGACGATTGGGTTGTATATCGAGCAAATCCATTGCCTGATGACATAGGTCAAGGTTGTCTTGGAAACTGCTGGTTAGTATATCTGTTTTGAAATGTTTCATCAATATTTCATTGTTTTGTTTGCTCAGTAAACAGATGTATATCATCACTGAATATATCAATAGAACTAGGCCCCGTGGTTAATATTATCTTCATATTATCTGTTACCTGTAGCTCCATGATAAACTTTCCTGACTAACGTGTTAATTTGTATATTTTTTTTAGACAATATCGAATGATTCCATGTTAACGTCACTGTAACACATCCGATGCACATTCGATATCTGGAAACAGAAGTCGTTTATGTGTTAGGGTTAAATGTGACTCAGAAATTACATTGTAACAACGGAAACATTAAGGGGGAGGGTCTTAGTAGGTTTCTTTGAACTGTGCTTCATATACAAATATACGGTTGACCTTGTCTTTGCAATTCTGTATTTGTGGTAACAGTATAGTCTCTAGGTCAAATATCTAATTGCTCTAAGTCAAGTGCAATATATACTTCACAGACTACACCAGATACTTTCACTGATACTATTAAAACCCTTCTGTGTTTTTCTTTTACCGTTCATAATGTCGTTAACAGAATACAAATTTGGACAATAGAAATATATCTTTCGGGTTGCCACCCTTGCATCTCTATGCGTCCCGTTATACGGTACACGTAACTAAGATGAGAAAGAATCTGATAGAGGACTGTACACTACTCAGAACTCAAGGTAACAATAATTATGTTTTGAAAAATCTTCCCTAAGAACTGTTCCCAGGCCTCTGTCTATGATAAGTTTATGGTTATTCATTGATAGTGCTACATCTAATGAGTATGTCGCCTGTAACCTGGAACAACATTTCCTTCCGAGCCAATTTTGTCTGTGGCCTGTTAAGTACTCTGAATCTAACATTTAGATTGCGTTTCGTTACCAGCTTATCTTGTAATTTCATGTAAGATCTTAATGACTCATATCGGAGGCTGTCGTGAGTGTCTGTCACAAGTCTACAGTTATTGTGTTGTACACTGGTCAAATTGGAAATTATTGCATCACATACTACATTCATGTAAAAACTTACATTATCGTATGAATAAAAAAGCATATTTCCTACAGATATAGAAAAAAATATGTCATTTCAAACTGTTAACAAGTTTACCTTTCAGAACGACGTTCCTAAGAACTGGTTAGTAGTTTTTGTCCGAGTTACCAGCTTTAGTTTATATTTAAGTATATTATATACTTGTGAAAGTATTTTGAAAGTCAGGTATATACTCGTGAATGAGATCAATATTTTTGAACATTTACGTATACAGTTATATGCATCATGACTAAGAACCCGTACAGGAGAGAAGAATGGATAGATCCTTTAGTCCAGCAACATACATGTTATATCAAACTGTCTGGTAGAGTTAAGGAAATTTCCATCACCGGCCACATCAAAGATACAACCTTGTGTTCTTTGTTTTCTGCTAGTGGTTCCCTAGACGTCCGTTTACTGGTGACCTTAACTGTTGCGTTAGGTGGTTAAATCCTGACGAAAGGTTATGGCGAGGATCGATCTATAAACAATCATTAAGTCAATATTATTACAATTTGAATATACAATTTAATTTTTGAAAAAATCTTTGGTCATAATCTGATACACATAACAGTTCATCTAAAAGAGGATTTCAATCCTTTATATTCATGTCTGTAGGTTTTTGAGTGCTCTAGCAGTGCTTGCCGAGAGAAAAGAACTACTAGAGAGGATAATTTTGACTCGAAAGTTCTGTAAGGAGGGGGCTTACCATGTACGCCTGTGTAAGGACGGGAGGTGGAAAATTGTGCTTATAGACGACTTTTTCCCATGTGATCAGTACAACCGACTACTGTATTCCAAGGTCAGTGTTGTACATGTAAGGAACTAAACCTAGAGCAGGGACCAATGTAGATGTGAAGAATAAAGAGTAATTACATACAGTTATAGACACACAGATCATAATTATTTTGAATGTATACTTCATACTCGTTTTATGACATTTTAACGCAATTCAAACATATTAGACTGCCATTATCTATCTATATGAGTTACAATAACGTTACATGAGGAAAGGGCTTACAATACAATATATTATAGTGTCGTTTTGGTAATTCATTAATCCTTTCGTCACTAACATGTGTATAATATATAATACATATTAAGAATATCATAGTATTATGGTATACGTACGATATTGTCGGAAGTGTTATGAAGGTGCCAACATTTTATGTAGAAAATGAGGTCCCAGATGCTAATCTCTAAATGATTTCTATGCAATTTGTCTCAGATATCGTACAGGTCATGTAAGTTTGAGTTTTACTAGTAAACTTCTGTGTATCCTTGTACAAATAGAGTCACCTACTTCTAGGATTCCAGATGCACTATAACCACATATGGCATCATTCATAATCTGAAAATACTCTTGACTTAGTCCAAACGAAAACAGCTATGGGTTCCCCTGATTGAGAAGGCCGCTGCCAAACTCCATGGTTGTTACCAGGCCCTGGAGTCAGGACGGGCTATCGAAGCTTTAGCTCTACTGACGGGGGAACCATGTGAACGCATACAACTTCAAGGTATCTCAATTTTTTATAAACAACAACATTCATTTACTTCCCATCGAATGTATTTGTCAGATGCAACTCCAAGGCGCATCCGAGTCTGATATAAACCTAGTGTATTTGTTGTGAATGTACACAACATGTATCGATTGGATACGATAATAAACGGTTTATGTTACCTGGGCGATAGTTTTCAAGAATGTCTTCTAAGAAATCGATCTGAACCTTCGTTTTGATATTTATATCAAGGGATAAGATTTCAATGATTGCAGTGTGGTATTATTTCCTGATCTTATAAGCCATTATTAATACAGTATTACTGCTTTTTTTACAGAACAGGATGATGATGATGTAGAAATAGACGAGAAGAAAATCTGGACAAAACTCGTTAAGGCTCGTCAGTCGAAGTAAATATTTTATAGTTTATGGTTGATACATATTCATACGTATATATATCATGTATATAGGATGTAGCCTGCTTCTCTGCATCATAATCGAGTTGCATTATTTGATACATTTTCAATGACATAGACATACTATGTACCCGAAGATAACATAGCAATATTACACATAACATTTGTTTATTTATGAAGTCATTATACTACATTTACCAAATGTTTTTTTGAAAGGTTCCTAATGGGGACGTCCTGTGGTAGCCTGAAGATGAAGCCAAGTGATCTCCAACACTACGACACTATGGGACTGATCCCTAATCACGCCTACTCACTTCTAGACATACAGGATGTGGCAGGGAATCGGTGAGCAGGAACAAATTTTAAATAATAATCGTAAATCGAGATAGGTTATCTCCCTTTTGTCAGCATTAAAGTTATGAATAATTTCTTTATTACAACTTAGATGTATACTTCTTAATCTAAGTATTGTTTTACTTTGCTGTCATTTGGGATCGTTATATAAGTTACTAAGATTAACCAAGATTTATATGTTAGATGTCGGCGATAAAGCAGAAGACGCTCTCTCTTCTCCTTTCTCCATTCTCTCTCCATGAATCTCCGTGCAAATCTTTCCTCTGTTATCATTTTGTCCTGGTGTTGTTAAATCTGAATTTGGATTACGATTCTGTCGACGTGTTGGTATTTTCTTTATTGTAGTTATGTACATGTAAGATCATAAGTAGAAAGTAAACGTGAAGCAAATGTCTTTATAGACTGGTAAAGATTCGGAATCCCTGGGGTACTGTTTCTTGGAAAGGGAACTGGTCTGATTACTCCTCCAATTGGTCACAAATTAGTGAGCGGACGAAAAGAAACATACAACTGGATGGAAATGACAAAGGGATATTCTGGATGTGTCTACCTGATTTCATGAGGTATGGATTGAAACACTGAGTATGATATGATACATACTAATCCGTGCAATTGTTATCAAAGGGTGACCTGGTTTAAGTGTTTTGTTTTTAGGTAAGACACGATGTCTTTCATTTTTGATTAATGTGTTTTTATCGACAAAGACGTTCTTAGCTTGATAGTTTTATCGTGCAGTTTGTAATATGTACCTTTGAACAAAACCTAGCTCGAAAGAAATGCAATATAGAAGACTTGTCATGATGCACCGTTATTAAATAGCTTTAATATTGTATTTTATGTAGATAAGGTTGTCGTGAATCATCAAATTTATCCGAAATAGCAGTGTTGAGATGTACACAAATGTTTTAAGTAATCTGGCAGTGTTGTGGTGTACATAATCGTTATAAATATTTTAACAGTGTTGTGGTTGCACATTTGTTTTAGATATTTTGTCTGTGTTGAGGTTACACATTTGTTACTGGTATTGCCGGTATTATAACAGTCATGTAGTGTACAGATCTGTTATATATTTTGAAAGTTTTGAGATGTACACATTTGTTATAGTTATTTTGTCTGTGTTGAGGTTACACATTTGTTACTGGTATTGCCGGTATTATAACAGTCATGTAGTGTACAGATCTGTTATATATTTTGAAAGTTTTGAGATGTACACATTTGTTATAGATATTATAACAATGTTGAGGTATACATATTTGTTACAGGTATTTTGTCAATGTTGAAGTGTACACATTTATACATATATAAATAAGAACAAAAATGTTCGTGTCACAAATGAGTTTACATTTCGTTCCAAATTGACTCCGATTATTAACTATATGCCGGAAATAGAAAATCCAGTTCTCTGGTTTGATTTTTCTGTGGGCGATTTGTCGAATTTGGAGCCTATTCAACCCTATTCAAAATAATATTTTTAGATATTTTTTGTACATTTGACTGTTAATTTTCCCCCAAAATACATTTCATTGTTACTATACTTACAATCATTAAAAGAGTTACAGTAAAATATCGTATTTTTAGTCAACAGTTCTTAATTAGATTGGGACCAAGATGAACCGGTAAACTCCTTTCCTCGGAATATGGCACGAGCATTTTTCAGTGGCTACCATGCACAGCATACCGAGATTAATATGAACAGTTTTGATATTTGAATCACCATGATTCATACACCAATTTAAGATTGTTTTGTCCCTTATAAAGGGCCTTCGGCGTCCAACGACTAAAAGGATTATCGAGACACCTTAATTTACACTACCGTTCTTGATTTCAGTTTTTAACTTTATGTATGAGATGTAATTTATGTAATATTTGTGTCTTAATAAAGGGGCAGATTGATTCGAAAATTTGACAATTTACTTGTCCGTACTGTCGTCAATACTTCATTGAATATATATGTATTGCAGTACTACGCATCTAACGAACATTTGTTTGTTAGGATCCAGTACCGTTTAAGGACCATACCGTTGATACTAAATACTGACAGTGTCGCGATTTTCACGTTTGCTATAGATACTTTTTAATATTTTTAATTGTACAGTCGAAGTGTACATCTTTGTTGTAGATATTTTGACAGTGTTGAGGTGTGTAAAGCCCGTCCGGATTGGAACGAACTGCGTATCAAAGGATCATTCCCTCCTCACGCAGATCAGCCTTGGAAATTTGTCACTCTAAACATTTACAACAGAACAAAAATGGACCTGTGTCTATTCCAAAGGACTGTAAGGTAGGCAACATGTTTGGTTTCTGACTAGGTTTATTACAGACGTATACCAAAATAAACAAAAGAGTTTCCAAATGATAGTAAACACATATTTGTCATTTTGTTATACAGAGGTGAAGGTTTAACGAAAGAGCCTTTTGTAGACATGATCATTGTGGTGATGGCGAATTCTCAAGACAGAGTTCTATCAAAAGTTATGTGTAACAGTCGGCGGGCAGCAAAATCGTTTACCGGGTGTGAGGTGGAGCTGGACCCAGGAACTTACACGGTGGCATGTCTAGCCTTCAAACACTGGCAAACAGGTGTATAAATATGTATTCTTCTTATCATATTAAAACTATTAAATCAAAGGGACTAATCGCTTCTAGATTATACTTTAACATGATGGAGTTTATCAATCGTATAAAAGGGCATATGACAATCATAACAATATATGGTAACCGAGAAGATTTCAAATAAAAACAAATTAATTGTTGTTTCCTGTTAATATAGTATGCTTCGGCAAAAATATCTGTATTACCTTGTGTTACTAGGCGTGCCGATGTCTTCGTCGCTTCGCATGGCAACAATCGAGGCCTTGAACAAGGACTTTGTTCTGACCATACACAGCTCTGGTACGGTTCAGTCGGAGGAATTCGACACGTCCAGTCCTTCGTGCACGTTTAATCTAGCAGATGTCATGATACTGTTAGCCATTGAGAAGGGAACCAAACAAGAGGTCTGTTTCGTTTCTAGATGTCTTTATCAATTCACAATACAACAGATTCGTACTTGTGAAGAATATAGATATTCTGTTATACTCGTGAAATATATATGCTATTAAACGGTTAACTAGTAATGTTTCGATTTCGTGGATACAACTATTAAAAATGGAATGAATTACCACATTCTTTGACGACAGAGAGATTAACATTCCTCTTGACAACAAGACGACGCCATTTTGAATTGCTTGTTTTACGTGGTATTCTACCATCTTATCTTGTTATCTGAAAAGAACTGTTTTAAATGTTGTCAATTGTCAAGATTGGAAAAGATTTGCTTGAAAACCAATTTAATAAATCTTTTTTTTTTCATTTACGTAAGAACAAAAAATTCAATGAATTTCAAAAGAATGACGAGTAGGCAACGCTCTGGATGGTCAAAACTATTAAAAGATTTCTTATATCATCAGAAATAATAAACGCTTTCATCAAATTGATAAATTCCTTTATTTTACTTGCATAAATGTAATAATGATGTTTTCAGGAGAGTATTTTCAATCATATTTGTTTCTTGTTTTGATTGCTAATTGTTAACGTTTAGAGGGTAAACATTTTGTCTTAACTTATCTATACGCCTGTGTGTTCCATTCGATTATCAAACTTTATAAATGTGCAAGGACTACTCTTGGAATAACTTTGATGGAGACCATAGTTTTGAATGTTTTATATCTTCTCTGAACTCATTTTCACGATTATTAACGATGGTAATTCAGGAATTATATCTTTTCCTCTGAAATCAGCATATATGAACAACATTTTTAAAGTATTGACCAGGAAAACCAAAGCTTACAGGTTTTTAAAACTCTTATTCTTCTGTGTTAATAAACACAAACTAGTTAGGCTCATATTGTATATTATCATCCCGTGCTACATTCACCGTGATATAATTATTTCTATAACCTAGATAAAAAGCTCCCGAATATTTACAGTATATTATCAATATATATATAATTCTAAGATGACTAAATATATCATAAAGACCTATGACGATGACGAAATAATTACTTGCTTTTGACAGCTATCTCCAGGGCTCAATTTGTACGCGCTGTGGTGGTATGGTGCAGTGTTTGTGGTAGAAAACACGACGGACGACCAGTACGGACAGGTCAAGTGTGACACGTCTAATAGTTCGTATCTAATCTCCACTCGCGGCAGCTTTGTTACCATGGACTGTATACCCCCTAGACACAGGTACGTGCACTTCTAAATGTTGCGTAAGGTTGCCATGAGCGACTAATCTTCCTGAAATAAATCATATCCTCAAACATCTAATCATAAGCAAAAATAAGGCAAATCATTTTCTATACATGAAGCGTCTATGTCGGTAAAATCGATCCTCCATGTCTCCTGAAAATGCATATAGCCACACTAATATTTAATGTTCATTTCATTTATTTGATATATGAATTTTTAACGTTGAATTTGCTGGCTAGTGAGCCCTATCTATGAATAGTTCGAAGTTAGTTGTGGACATTTTCCAAACATTTATCACAGCTGACAAGTCAAGGAAGAAAAAACTGGTGTACGTTGCAGTTTACTCGTTATTTGGAAGGATGTGTCCGTGACTGTTGTTATTCACTCGCATTTCGTTGTGCAGTTCTTCCAGCACTGATGTCTAGTACCAAAATATGTTAAATTCATTCCATCAATTTGTCATTTACTCGTATTGGGAAAGGGATCAAATTGGCATGGAACATAGTAGTAAATATAAGATCTCCGCGAGAAGGAAATGAAAAATGTTGTTGTATCTAGCACTAAGAATCAAGAGCAGGTGCATTTCCTCTCACCTTTTATAAAATGAGACATGGTGAACCCATTGACTGTCTTTGATTTTGCTGTGAATGACAGTTTTTTCCTGTAGGATCTCATTTATTTTTGTTATATACACCATTCTTCACATGATTTAAAAATTGCAAAAAAAAATTGTTACAATGATGTTAATTAATTTTAATATATCTTACATCATACCATATGCATTTTATTACAGACAGGTGCTACAAATTTTGACCCCTCTTGAACCGGTAACTGGTTGGTCAACCAACAGGTCCATGCAATATCTCATGTCCCCTTCCTCAGGACTGTACCGAGAATGGCGAGTACCCGATGGTGTGTTACATGTACCAGCTATAACAGCAGATGTTGCTGCTCTACACAATCCTCGACAGTTCTGAGTGGTGTCTACCTTATATTCGATTGTAAACCAGGTACATCAACGAGTGGTCCACTTCAACAGAGCCCACGACAGTTTTTAGGAGAATCGTCCCCATATTCGCTAGTGAACCAAGTACATAAGAGTCCTCCCCTCCACGGTACACGAAAATTCTGAGGGGAGTCGTCTTCATATTCGAATGTAAGATTAGTATATCAACAAGTGCTTGTAATTGTTTCTGTTTAAAGAGGGGAAGCAAAAGTAAGACGTTTCTAAAGAAAATGATTACTCTTCTCTCATCACTTCATGGAGGCTTACAGCTGTTAGTAAGCTTTCATAACAGAGAGATGCATGTCGATGCAAGAGATGATAGGTTTTACGGTAATAGCTACTACTATCTCATCATGTGGTATACATTTCGATTATTTTGGTGTTTGTTGGTTATTTCTGATCAGGTTATACTTTGTTATTACCAGGATTGACCTAGCTTTAATTTTCCGGTGCTATCAAGGCGGCAGGAGACGCCTATTTGTCTGAAACGTATTCTCCGTATATTTTGTCTATGCTATGCTGCTCTTTATTGATTTCTTAGGATAGTTGTATTTTATGTATTTAACGACGTTATCATTACAACTATGTCGAGTTTTTTTCAGTATTTTCAAGGTTAACCTCTGTTGGTTTCCGACGTTAGTGGCACATTCGCTTTGAATTTAATTGCCCAAAGAAAAATAGTCTATCACTTGTCCACATGTGACGTCAGAGTGTGTTGCTGCACTACATGACACCCACTGTCCCCATAATTTTCATATATAAAGCTTAATGATAATTAGCATAATGTTTTATGTATTAATTTGAAATTATCTTTGATCAGTGCTGGAAGCCGTTATTAGTATTTAGAAATTAGTTAGTTCCCCGATGAATATAATGCCATATTAATCAATTCGAGGCCCTAGATTAACATGACAACCATGGAAACACTCGTTTATCTAATTATCATGCTACAGGACTAGACAACGTATTAAATTTGAACAAATTATTTAGTTTTCGTTAATTTTTAGGGTCACAGCTAGATCGAGATGCCAATGATTATCAACTGTTATTGTGAGTGCATCGCTTAGAACTTTCAATTTCTTACGCTATTTGGTATGAAAAATAAGATCACTATTTTATGAGATACACATAGCCTCAAAAATAAACCAAACAACCAAAGAAGAGAAAATATCTAAAGTAGATCACTCTCTAAAGTAGACCAAGTATCTGCAGTTGACGAAATCTCTAAAGTACATCAACACTCTTCACTACAACAAACCTTTAAATAAGACCAAATCTCTACAGTAGATTAAACTTCTTCAGTAGCCTAAACCTCAGACCAAATATCTTTAGCAGACCAAATATCCAAATTAGATGAAATATTTTCAGTAGACCAAACCTCTAAAGTAGACAAAATCTTCAAAGAACTCCAAATGTCTTAGGTAGATCAAATTGTCGGAGTAGACCCAACTACCTATGTACACCAAAATCGTAAATGTAGCAAATCTCTGTAGCAAACCGAACCTCTAAGTATGCCAAACTTCAAAAGTACACACCACTAGGGAAGAAAAACATCCAAAATTCACCAAACCTCTACAGGAGACCAACTATTAAAAGTACACCAAAACCCTACAGAAGACCAAATATCAAAAGTACACCAAACCTCTACAGAAAACCAAATATCAAAAGTACACCAAACCTCTACAGAAGACCAAATATCAAAAGTACACCAAACCTCTACAGAAGACCAAATATCAAAAGTACACCAAACCTCTACAGAAGACCAAATATCAAAAGTACACCAAACCTCTACAGAAGACCAAATATCAAAAGTACACCAAACCTCTACAGAAGACCAAATATCAAAAGTACACCAAACCTCTACAGAAGACCAAATATCAAAAGTAACCAAACCCCTACAGTATCAAAAGTACCAAACCTCTACAGAAGACCAAATATCAAAAGTACACCAAACCTCTACAGAAGACCAAATATGAAAAGTACACCAAACCTCTACAGAAGACCAAATATCAAAAGTACACCAAACCTCTACAGAAGACCAAATATCAAAAGTACACCAAACCTCTACAGAAGACCAAATATCAAAATTACACCAAACCTAAACAAAAGACCAAATATCAAAAGTACACCAAACCTCTGCAGAAGACCAAATATCAAAAGTACACCAAACCTCTACAGAAGACCAAATATCAAAATTACACCAAACCTAAACAAAAGACCAAATATCAAAAGTACACCAAACCTAAACAAAAGACCAAATATGAAAAGTACACCAAACCTCTACAGAAGACCAAATATCAAAAGTACACCAAACCTCTACAGAAGACCAAATATCAAAAGTACACCAAACCCTTACAGAAGACCAAATATCAAAAGTATACCAAACCCTTACAGAAGACTGTTGTATGTTGCCCTGACAATGTTTGTCATAAGAAATAATTTTGTTTACAAACGGTGTCGAACTGTTTTATGATTCCCTAACAATGTTTGTCATAAGAAATAGTTTTGTTTACAGTTTCAAACTGCTCTATGCTCTATATAATATCTATATAATTTATATAATATTTGTTCATGTAATTACTCTTCGAAATTCATTATGTTGCATAGAGGCGATGATGTTCAATTTGTATGAATGCAGAGGACTTTTATGGAAAGTAATATTTAAATATATAAACATATGATTTGTCAGTCATGATCACACGCTTAGTGCTTTGCTAGTATATAAAGAGGGTAAATAGCTAGAGACTGATAACAATTAAAGAAAGAGTATCTATCAAGTTCAAACATTACAAATCATTGTTAAATACCAGTATGTCTTAAAATGTCTCTGTAATAGGTTCAATATCCAGCTTCTTTACATAAACACTACACTACAAAATCTCTTTATATGAAGTAACGTAATAGAATATTTGATTTCGCCAATCAGTGGAGGTCAACAAATTATATAGACACAAGCAGACGGAGTACATTTATTATGTATAGAACGGGACATCGTATGATACTAAAAAACAAATCAATCAATTCCGTTTCAGTGGATTAGCATATGTATTAAACCGCGTTCATAAACAAATGCGTTTCATATTTTAGTATTTGTGATATGCATGAATGATGACATTACGGAAAATATGATGAAAAAATTGACACAACAAAATAAATGTACATGATGAAGAAATTGATATTTATTAAAATATGTACACGATGAAGAAACTGACACTGCAGAATGTATGATGAAGAAAATGACACTAGAGAATGAACGATGACGAAAATGACACTATAGAATGTACGATGACGAAACTGACACTACTGAATGCAAGATGACGAAACTGACACTATTGAAGGTATGAATGAGAAACTGACACTATTTAATGTACGATGACAAAACTGACACTACATAATGTAAGATGACGAAACTGACACTACTGAATGTATGATGACACTAGAGAACACATGATGAAGAAAATGGCACTACTGATTGTATGATGAAACTGGCATTACATAATACGCAATGAAGAAACATACACTGCAAAATATACGGTGAAGCAACATAAAAGAATGCCGTGATATTTTAATAATAAACCCTTACTTTTCTTTTTCTTCCATCTTCTTTAAATCTTGATTGATTTGTGTTAGTGTTGTGAGACTCATACACTTCTATAAAGAGTGTTCTTCACACGTAGCTTTAAATGTGTACACTCAGTTACACCGTTCAACAAAACATACTGACTGTTACTTCCATATATCTGTCAGAGTAAGACGATTTACATGTCATTGTCATCAGTGAATGTTAATCTTTAAAGATGGAGAGAGAATTCTGATCAAGGAAAGACAAGGGATGTGTCCACATGTCTGAAAATTTCTTTTTTTTCAGAGACATCAAGGACGACAGCAATGAGTTACGACTTGGAAAGTATTAAAGACTAAGTTTAGAAAAGGTTATTTTCCCCTCTGGTTTCCTTCGGGAATATGACCATTCGCGCTCCTGTTCAGGTCAACAGAGAATTCCTAATATTGCATGGTAGATTGTTTCACAATATCAGTAACGTAAAGAAAATATGACTGTACAGAAAACGTAACAAAACGTATATACACTACTGAGAAACGTGTTGTATGTTATTTACCGTCATGGACAGGACTCTTCCTACCATTACAAAATATTATTTCTTGCCCTGCATAGTCTCTTACAAACCTCAATTACAAATTGTATGTAATGAGAGGGTTTCCGCAACTCCCCGTCTAGATTTTGACCTATCTTTTGATCACTTTTGATTATCCTTAGTCGTCTGCAATTCTTTTAGACCCTAAGCATCATTGACGAGTCCTAGAATGACGAAACAGATGTATGATTTAGCATCATTGACGAGTCCTAGAATGACGAAACAGATGTATGATTTAGCATCATTGACGAGTCCTAGAAGGACGAAACAGATGTATGATTTAGCATCATTGACGAGTCCTAGAATGACGAAACAGATGTATGATTTAGCATCACTGACGAATCCTAGAATGACGAAACAGATGTATGATTTAGCATCACTGACGAGTCCTAGCAGATGTATGATTTAGCATCACTGACGAGTCCTAGAATGACGAAACAGCTGTATGATTTAGCATCACTGACGAGTCCTAGAAGGACGAAACAGATGTATGATTTAGCATCACTGACGAGTCCTAGAATGACGAAACAGCTGTATGATTTAGCATCACTGACGAGTCCTAGAAGGACGACACAGATGTATGATTTAGCATCATTGACGAGTCCTAGAATGACGAAACAGATGTATGATTTAGCATCATTGACGAGTCCTAGAATGACGAAACAGATGTATGATTTAGCATCACTGACGAGTCCTAGAATGACGAAACAGATGTATGATTTAGCATCACTGACGAGTCCTAGAATGACGAAACAGATGTATGATTTAGCATCACTGACGAGTCCTAGAATGACGAAACAGATGTATGATTTAGCAT